TGCTACCCTGAATTGGGCTGTTCTGTTTCCTGGTCTGAAATTTGGTTGTGCTGTTCTGGTGAGTTACTGATTTGTAGGAGGCTCAAAGCCACCACAGCTGTACCTAACAGACACAGGTTTGCTGCTCCCCTGACTGCAGTCGGATCTCCAGGCACAGAGCTGTGCCTGCCAGGATGATTCCAGTGCAATTCCAGATGCTGCTCTGGTTCTGTCGAGAAGCAGCAGGCTTCCTGAGAATCCTGTTGAGAATCCTGCAGCCTGCCTCAGGGCTCTGCCTCCTCCTTCTCCAGAGCAGCGTGCTGCCTCTGCACTGGCATGAGGGCCATGGGAATCCCCCTGTAAAACATTTCCTGATGTTTTACAGTGCTGAAGCACAAGCACTCCTGGAGGGAGGCCTGTGGCAGTATGGATCACAGAGTTTCTTGGAGCAGCTACTGTGGGGGCACTGCACGAGGTGGGCGAGGAGCCGGGGCTGGAGCTGCAGGGGCTGAGGTGCTGCTGACCCTCGGAGCAGCTCCCACTGCCAGGCCAGGGCAGGGGAATGACCATGAGCAGCAGCCTCTCCTCAGCGTATTCCCGATCCCGGGTCACAGCACGGCTCCACAGATCTGGGGAATGCAGTGCTGGAGCTAGTGGAAGAAGTCAGACCTCAACAATGCTGTGGATAGCTCTGCTGCCAGATTGGGCTTTATTATTTTATTTTTTCAGTGAAGTTTATGGGTTGGGGATTTTGCAGAACTTGGCACTGGGATCCAATATCAAATGAAGACCTTCTGGTTCGGAAATTTGACTTAATGCAGCCATCTTTTATTGCTTCAAGGATTAAGCAGAACAAAGTGGCTCTGCCTGTGCATGTGCGGAGATGTTTGCCAGAGGTATGTGAGACACCCTGTGGCAGCTCTGATGGCCGAGCCAAGTGTGGTGGGACCTTCCACTGTGGAGGGTTTCACAGTGCTGCTCCTGGAACATTAGCCCTGCCGACAGGAAAACAGTCCTCAGGAACACAGCAGAAGAGAGGGACTTTCCCAAAGAGAATGAGGGCCCAAACCCACTCCCTTCAGCCCTTCCCTCCCACGGCAGGGCTGGCGGAGCTGGCAGGAGCTCTGCCGTGGGGTCACCAGAGCAGGGAAGTAGGGCACAAGGAGCACCATGACTATCCCTGTGTGCCTCTGGGACAGGGACAATGATAACCAGTGCCATCACTGGTGTCTGAGGGGCCTGTTGAAAGCTCCACAAAGGCAGGCTGGGGAATGAGCTGGCAGCGTGGGGTTGCTGCTGCCACTCACAACCTTCTGGAGCCAGACCCTGCCCTGGGGCTGTGAGGCCTCGGTGTGTCCCAGGTGCTGTCCCCTGGTGAGGGGCTGGGAGATGAGTGACCAAACTAACCCGAGTGAGACCCTGCGAAACCATGACTCCTCCTGCAGGAAGCCAGTTTGTGCATATTTACGCCCCTCGCTGACTACCAAGCGGAAATTCAAATTCCCTATCCAGCTCCAGGACCTGGAAACCCAAATTCCCCACCTCACAGCAGGTGCCCAGCTGGCTGTTGGCAGTGACCTGGCAGTTCCCAGGGGTTCACTCCTACTGCTGCTGTAACCAGGTTTGTCCTGCCTCCAGCATCTGGTCCTTCTCTCCAAGGCTCAGTAAACCTTTGGAGAGCCTGTTTACATTTTGGATCGCTGGTACATTCAGCAAGAGGCAATATATCAGCAATTTAGTTATTGTGGATTAGGTCTCAGATATCCTGGGGATATAATGTTGGTCTTTCTCACCTTGTGTGTAGGAGGACTAATGGCAAATTATCTGGATGGTTTACATTTTCTAGTTTGTATTGGAGCTCCCAAGGACCAATTTATCCTGATTGAATTGCAAACAAGGCTCAGTGCCATCTCAGATTCAAGGGGCCAGGTCTCTCCATAAATTAATTCAGAGCAATTCAGGTTACACCAAATTCTTCCTGTAGATGGGATAATGGCATAAATCCTGCTAATGTTTAGACTGGAAATTGTTTGTAGCAACCTGAGCTTGACTGATGGCTGCAGTAACAGAAAGAATCATAACTCGTGTCCTGTGGTGAGGGTGGGAAGAACTGCAGTCCAGCCAGACGGCTCACCACAAACCCCCAGGTGCTCATGGGGAGGATTTGGAGGCCTGTGTGTGACCTGCCAAGACACTGACTCTGCTGCACCTAGAATGCCAGTGGCCTTTCTGTTCTGAGGCAGCAGCTGTGGCCAAGCCCAGGCTTTCTTTGGGTGAGAAAGCAAGGAAACAAGGAGGATAAAGTGCGTGCTTGCTGGGTTTATGCTGTGGTCTCAAGGTTTCCCATGGCACTTCCCTGCGCTGCCCAAGCCCTCAGAAATGGGGTGCGTGGTGGTGGCACCAGCTTCACACTGGCTGTTGGCACGCTGGGGCTGTGTTTGCTCCCTCTGGACATCCATCCCTTCTGCTGTCCCACGCCTGGGATCCGTGCCCAAACTGTGAGTGTTGTGTAAACACGGCGTGTGCTTCCTGTGAAGCCGACATAATTAAAAACCGGGGGCTGGCAGAGCGAGCGGCGGCATCAGGGTCCCTCCGGAACCGCTGTCACTCGCTCAGGCTGTGCTGCACTGGGCCTGCTCACACCCACTGCCATCCCCAGGGTCCTGCGGCCATGCTGGCCATGGCTGGACTCTCCCACACCACCTGTCCGGAGAGCCCCTCCTGACCCGCTGCCCCTCAGGTGCCCAAATGCGGAGGAGCTGCGGGGATCCCTGCTCTGCACAGCTCCCTGCTCCGTAAATACTCCCACAGCCTGGCTTAAGCGCTTGACAGTGTTTATAAAGCAGCTTGCAGCAAACAGGCTTGGAAGTGCAGAACAAGTTGGTGTTTACACAAGTGACTAATTATTTATTTGAAAATCCTGTGGACGAGCCGTGGGCTGTAACGACAAGCACATGGGGAGCGCTGGGCTCCTGCCCCGGCAGTGGCGGCAGGGACACGGTGAAAAGTTCAGAACCAGCGGGGTGGGGGGATGGTGGCGATGGCCCCACAGAGCCCGGTGGCCCCACAGAGCCCAGTGGCCCCACAGAGCCCAGCTCTGTCAGCACAGGTGAGCCAGGAGGTGCCCACACCAGGCACAGCTCAGTGTTCATGCCCTGTGCTGCCACGAGACCCAGCTGTACCCGGGTCACATCTCCCTGCAGCTGCTGCCGGCCCACGCCTGCTGCTGGAGCAGCCCCATCGCTCCAGGTGTTCAGCGTGTGGCCAAAACTCCCCTCAGGAACCTGCTTGGGCCAGCGGTCCTTCAGCAGGGCCCCCAGCCAGGGTGGGCCAGGGAGGGGATTGGACCCCTAGGGACCCAGTCCATCCCAGGCTGAGGCCGGGCTCACTTCCAGCACTGTTGCCACCAGTTGTTTGGGGCATTGGTGATTGCGCAGTTATTATAAAGGGATTAAAACAATTTTCTGTTTCATTTGACTTCACAGAGCAAATGTTGTCGCCTTTATTCCAGCACAATGTCCGCCATTGGCAGGGCTTTGCTCTGCCCAGCTGTGGAGGGGCGTGGGGCCCAGCTTGGCAGTGCCAGATCTCTCGGTGCAGCATGGAACTTGCCCTTGCCTCACACCGGGCACAGGGGAAACCGCTTAAAAACTATGGGGGAAATGCCCTGTCAGCAGCCAGCTGGAGCAAGGGCTTGGGTGCTCTCAGGAGAAGATGGTACATGTGGAGGCCTGGGTGCTGCCTGGCCATTGGGCAGCTGGGCTTCCCCTCTCTCTCCAGAAATTCCTGCAGAGCCATTGTTTTGCTGCCTGGCCTGTCCTGCTGGTGCTGCCATCTCCTCACTCTGTCCTGCTGTGCACAGTGGGCTCTGCGCCCTGGCTGGGTAAGGGTGGTGTGGCGCTCGCAGATGGGCTCGCTGCCCCACGCCAGGCTCTGCCACACACCAGGCTCTGCCCCATGTCAGGCTCTGCCCCACACCAGGCTCCCTGCCCCATGCTGGGTTTACTGTCCCACACCGAGATCACTGCCCCATGCCAGGCTCGCTAACCCACACCAAGCTCACTGCCTCACACCGAGATCACTGCCCCACGCCAGGCCCACTGCCCCACACCAAGCTCACTGCCCCACGCTGGGCTCACTGCCCTACACTGAGATCACTGCCCCACACCCAGCCATCTCTGCCACTGAGCCTGGCACAGAGCAGCTCCTGCACTCAGCCCTGTGCAGGCAGTGCTGACCCTGCCCTTCTGCTTCAGGGAACGGGAGATGGAAGGTTTGGAAATTCCCTTGGAGCAGAAACGCAGCGTTTTGGGCAGTTTGTGGAGGATCCCACCCCGTCCCCAGACAGCCCCAGCCCTAGGTGGGGACTGCAGCTCTCTTCTAGGCTTGACTACCAGCCCCAGAGGTGCCCACTTGATGGGAAACATCTTGTGTGCCTGGCACCCGCAGCAACCATCTGCCGCTTGGGGAGGGCAGCCCAGGGGTCTGGCTCTATTTTAAACAAGTTCCAGCTATAACTACTGTTTGCAGTACTGGCAGATGGCAAAGATGCACTGAGCATTTCGACAGGTGCTGATTATGAGCAACAGGGACTAATGGATGAGGCTGGAGCACAGCTCTCCCCACACCACTTGGGGTGCCACTATCTGCCAGCACCCTACAGTGCACCCCACAACCCCTGTGCTCACCCCAGCCATTGTGGGAGCAATACTGTCTGTCAAGTTAACCTGTTCTCCTATTCTTTTGCAGTTCCTGCCAGCGTACCTGGAAACTGTGACCAGCTAACACCCACTGCCAAGCCCCCAATGGGACTAGGGCTGCGCTCCTGCACTCCTGACAGGGATGAAGGTAGAGCCATGTTACCTGCTACCTAAGCTCGTTGGTGCTGCTGTAGTTTGTGGATATGGTTCCAGACCTGGCTCTGTGCACAGACTCTCAGCTCTGATCCCACCCGAGAGGATTTAGCGGCAGCAGAGACCCCAGCTGTGGAGCACACTCCCCCAACCACCCTGCGACGGAGGGGCTGCAGCGCTGGAGAGTTACTATGCAGCTTGGACTGCTTGTGGTGGTGGTTTTTCTAAGCTCGATGGATCTAACAGGCAGCAGCAAAGTGGTGAAGGGCAAGAGGCAAAGACGAAGTATGTATGAAATGCTTTTCTTCTCTATTCCTCTCATGATGCCATGAAGGTCATGCTGGTGTGAATGTGTTTATAAGGCAGGGAGCTGGGCAGGGCCTGCAGTGCCCCAAGAGCCTGCAGAGATACCCCAGTTTCACTCCCTATGTCCCCTGACCTGCCACAGCTCTGAGCTGCAGTGTCCCCTGAGGTCACGGGGGGGGGTCAGTTATGCCTCCAGCCCAGAGGGTCCCTGGTGGGGCTTGTGCAGGGCAGCCAGGCAGAATTGGCATGAGAGCAGCCAAAGGCGTTTGCCCTCCTTTATGTAAGCTCATGTTAGAACTGTTTTACATTAAAACTGCTTTAAATTGAATTATATAAAATTGATTTTATATTAAAACTGGGACTGCTGAGCCCTGGGAGAACAAGGAAAACCTGACGTCATGGCTAATGCTATAAAGGGCAATTTCCAGCGAGGGCCCAGTTTATACTTTTGCCATGGATGCAGAGCTTGGCACCAGGGCCCAACACTGCGGGAGGGATGGGGCCGGACCCCTGGGGCTCTCTGTGCAGAGAGGCCTGAGCCCACATTGCCAAGGGGGTCCCAATCCAGACCAGTGAGCCCTCCTGGAAGCTGGGGGCTGAGGATCCCCTGCCCTCAGTGTCTCTTCCCAAGGCTGAAGCAGACCCCACACCCACAGGCCTGGCGATGGTGATGGGGCTGGGGCAGGCAGCAGGAGCTGCCAGGCTCTGCGGACACGGCAGGGGGACAACGCAGCTCTCTCACCTCTAGTCCTGACACGTGAACACTGTGCTGCTCCGCACTTGCTTTTGAAGTGTAGTAAACATAGTATTTAAAAGAATAATTTTTTAAATACACAGTTTTTCTATAAACAAGGACATGGCTTGCATAATAAACTAATAAAAATAACCTGCATTTTAGTCTGCAAAGAATGCAATTGGTTTCAAAACAAGCAGCATTTTATATGATAATGAAAAGCAGAAAACTCGCAAGACATGAGATTGAGTATTTTTCTTGGACTGAATGTAGGAGCTGAGAACACATCTCTGTTTTGGGGGCAGTGACACCTCCCGACTGCCAGAGAAAATTTAACATAGTCAGGGTCAGAGTGAGATCCAGAATGGGATGCAGCATGGATGGAATTAGTGGAACAGTTTTGCTCCAGGGCCATGTGCTCTGGTCCCTGCTGGTCCTTGGCACAGAGGCACCTCCAAGCAGGGAGGCAGCAGGAGGTGCTGGACCCCTGGGCACATTCCCATAGTTAGTGTCTGCCCCACACAGGCATCAGTGCTGGGAGGCAGTGGGCTGGGGTGGGCACTGCTGGGGCTCTGCGCACAGTTGGTGGCTGCTTCTGGGTCCTGCTCCTCAGCACGGGCACTGCTGTGACTCTCATGCCTGTGCTTAGCATAGCTCTGGCTCCTGTGGCCTTTGGGGATGCAGCCACGAGTCCCCGTGCTGTGAGTGTGTCAGTGCTGCAGGACCCTAGCCCTTGCTTTGTCCCAGTTCCTGCCCTTCCTGCCAGTGGTTTGGGGTCACAGCTGGTTCCTGCATAGCCCGGCACTAACCACTGTCTCTCTCCTGCTCTTCCAGTCAGCACCGAGCTGAGTCAGGGCTGTGCCAGAGGCTGTGACCTGTGCTCTGAGTTCAATGGGTGCCTGAGGTGCTCCCCCAAACTCTTCATCCTTCTGGAGCGGAACGATATCCGACAGATTGGGATTTGCCTGCCTTCTTGTCCACTGGGATACTTTGGCCTTCGCAATACGGACATGAACAAGTGCATCAGTGAGTGTGGGGCTGGGAGGTGGCAGTGCTCTGCAGGGCAGCACATGCCTCTGCTCAGGTGCAGGAGGTGCTGTGGCTCTATGGAAGAGGTGAGGCAGGGCTGAGCATGGCAGCCTGAAAAGAGCCCTGCTCAGCACCTCATGAGCATGTTGTGCACATGGGATCTTGCAGGACAGTTTTGTTATATGGGCTGCCAGACTGGCAGCCTTTGGGAGGAGGGAGATCCTTTCAGGCATTTAGTGCCTCTTTTCCTGCTCTATTGCCCACCAGACTCAGGCGGCTCTGAGTGAAATCCTTGGCTTGCATCTTGTAGCCAGAGCACCAGAAAGAGCTGGACATGGAAACATGCAATCAGTCCCCTGGCAGGTCCCTGCACAGCACCCTCACAGCCAGGTTTCCATCTAGCTCCCTTTCCATGCAGCCTGTTCTGTAGCTGCAGCTGGAGCCGGGACTATATCCTTTGCACCGTCCCCTTTGGCTGACTGATGCTCAGCTGAACTTCCCACCCTGCCTGATTCTGTCCTGGCAGTGGCTGTTGCTGGTCGTGAGAGCTGCAGGCCAGGGAATGGTGCAAAGAAAGCTCACTTCTGAGTGGCAGCCTGGCAGGAAGCTCAGAGACATGCCCTGGTTGCTGCAAGATCCCTGGGAGCCAGGACTGGCAGTGTGGAGCTTCTTAAGTCTTTTGTTCACATTGGCTTACATGATGGCTTTGGTGTTTGTTTTTTTTTTCCCCAGAATGCAAAATTGAGAACTGTGAGTCCTGTTTCAGTCGAAACTTTTGCACAAAATGTAAAGAAGGTTTGTATTTGCACAAAGGGAGATGTTACGTCACATGCCCCGAAGGCTATGCTGCTGCCAACGGCACCATGGAGTGCAGCAGTCCTGGTAAGCAGCCCTGCACTCCGCTGTCTGGGCATGGGTAGTGCTGCAGTGGGGTTTAGATGATGAACTGAAACCCTCATCATACCCGTGTCGAGGGGGTGCCAGCACAACCCTTTGTGGGGCCCTCAGGGAACCAGCCTGGGTGGGGAGCAGCCCCAGGTGTTTATCAGCTGTTACCCAGAGCTGGCAAGGAAAGGGGTGCTGGGGGATTTAGGAACCTGCTGGGGAAACCCACACACACTCCCTTGCAGCCTAAGGTGGGGAGAGAGGCAGGAGTGGGATCAGGGATGGCCTGAGTCGGCAGCCCAGGAACGGGAGTTACAGCTGAGCTCTCTTGTTATCGGCAGCACAATGTGAAATGAGCGAGTGGGGGCCATGGGGGCCCTGCTCCAAGAAAAGGAAGCTCTGTGGCTTCAAGAAGGGCAATGAAGACCGAACACGGCGGATTCTGCAGGCTCCTTCTGGGGACGTGTCTCTGTGTCCTCCAACCACAGAGGTGCGGCGATGCACGGTGCAGAAGAACCAGTGCCCTGAAGGTGAGCAGAGCTGGGGGGTCTCACCATCCCTCCCCACACCCTGTAGAGGTCAGGCACAAGGAGTCAGCCAATTGCCCAGTGTCACAAATGTGCTGTGCAGCTCCTGACTCCTCTGAAGTGCAGGGGATATGGATGTGACGGCACTTGGAAGAGCTGCAGGTGGAAGGGGCAACAGCCCCCAGGAGGGTGATCCTTGGCACAGCTTGCCATGTGTACCACAGGTTTCAGCTGTTTTAGTTTCTTCCCTGGCCAGAAAGCAGCCAAGGGTGCATGCCTGTGTGCTGCTGTGATGGGAGTTGTCTTCTCTACCAGAATGCTTAGGTCTGTTTATCCCAGGAATTAGTGTCTTCAGGATGAATGGTGGTTTGGCTGTCTTGTTACAGAGTGGACAGGGATTGCAGCTGTGTTGAGTGTCCTGAGGGGAAAGGGCTCTGAGCAGTGATTAAATGCACAGTAATTAATCAGCAGGGCAGGGGGAGCTGGACAGGGCTGATCTGTTCCCTGATGCCTCACTCTACCTCGCACTACCCCTTTGCTTTACTGCAGGGAAAAGGAAGAAAAAGGAAGAGCAAGGAAAGCAAGATAATGGGAATAGAAATCGGAAAGATACCAAAGACACTAAGTCTGGCACCAAGAAGAGGAAGAACAAACAGAGAGGGGCCACGGTGCCTGCGACGCTCGCTAGCCCTGCCCAGTAGCTGGCCCTGTGCGTCACCTGATGGCAAGACTCCATTGCTGCTATGTATATGAAAGCTTTATTGAACAGAGCACTGCTACACCATGTACACGTGTCCAGAGACAGACATATACTCCAGACTGACCCAGAGGCCACACACACAGTACTTATGGAGGCTGCACACACCCCCCGCCCAGGACTGTGGAAGAATGCTGCTGAGGAGTGGGAGCACACACGGAGGCAAAGCCCATGGCCCCAGGGCTCTGTGGGGACACTGCAGGGAGGAGAGGTGGAGCATAAATCAGTGAAGGACCCAGATGTGGGACTGATTTCATGATCGAAGGCCTCAACTGGAGCCCAAGCACGTAGCCCCAGCACAGCCCCACTCAGCCAGGGGATGAGACTGAACCCACATGGCCACTCTCCCTGACCTGGGACCCAGACACACACAGCAGTGGCCTCTTTCTCTTCCCTCACCCCTTATTTTGTGTTTTAAGCTGTATGACTTTATCATTGCGAATACATGTTAAAAGTTTGTGGTAAGAGGTCAGTGGTATCTGCCCTAAATCTGCTTCAAAGAATTATTTCAAATTAAAAAAAAAAAAACAAAATCAAAATGACAACCAGCTTCCTGAGTGTGTGGTTCATACCTTGGCCCCTATGGAGGCTGGTGTCCCACAGGACGGAGACTCACTTGTGGAAGGGAAACTCACCAAAGCTTTAAGAAAATCCCAGAAAATGCTGCCAGCTGCACTGCAGACACAAATCAGCTGTCCTGCGTGAGGGACCCCAACTGCACCCCGCTGAGCACCGAGGAATTCCCCACTGAAAGATCCACTTAACACACAGCAGATTGAGAAAACGAGAGGTCACAGCAAACCACAAGCTGCTGAAGCATTGTGACTCGGCTCAGACAGTCACAGCAGCAGGACAATCCTGGGCTGGGGACAGCTGGTCCAGCTGCTGGCCACCACCCTGGAGCATGGCAGGAGGGAGGCAGGTGGGAGGGGGAAGGCATAGCTCAGGTCCTGCAGAAGAGAAACAAAATTTTATATTGTCTGCATCCCACTGATTGGAATTTCCCAGATTCTCCTGCTCTGCGAGAGCTGATACCTGAGCAGAGGAACTGGGACAAGGACTGTTCAAGATCTGGTGAGCCCTGTGTGGGATGTGTGGGTTTGCTGCCTGCTCTGCTCAGGGAGCTCTTCCTTTGGCAGGGTGGCTCACCATCACTGCCCTGGGATTTTAAAATGTGCTTTCTCTGTATAAATATGTAGAGTCACATTTAATTTCTTGAGAGTTCAGCAGAAGCTCTCTGGTCCCAAGGATGGTGCTGTGCCTCACAGAGATGTGCCATGGGTAGATCAGGGATGTGCTGCTGGAGCTGCAACTCCCCTGATAGGGCAAAGGGCAGGAGAAAGCTCATCCCAGACTAACCCTGGTGAGTCCAATCTTCACTGTGCTCCCTTCCATACCACCCTCTGCTCTGTGATTTTGGAGGGCAGAATGAGCCAACAGGCATGCAGGGCAGCCTGCGAGAGAGCTCCCCGTCCCTCCGTGGGGTCACCTGCCCACACCAACAGCTCTGGTTCTCTCCTGTAGCTTGTGGTGCCCACCGAGGACTCGGCTCTGGCACAGGACACCCCAACTCCCTTCACCCATCAGGGCTGCCTTGGCTCAGTGCAGGATGTGGAGACTGCACAGTTGTTTTGTACCAAGCTCTCCATGACTGCTCTGCTGGCAGAAAAACCTTTCAGCCTGTCGTCCACTTTGTGTTTAAGTAAACAAGAAGCTGTTACATCTTTGAAAGGGGATTCCATTTCAGCACAATGATAAATGACCAGCATACCAAGGAGGGGGAGAAAGACGTTTTTAAAAGTCATCCTTTAAGTTGTTTACGGCTTGTGTTCATAGGATTTCTGAAAACTTCCCAGCTGAATGATCCAGTCTTGCTCTATTTTCTAGCCTGTGAGAGAAGTATTTTGTTTGTGCCATGGCATTGCTTGTAAGCAGAATCATTTTCCCTTCTTCTTACCAACACCCAGCAGTGACCCGCTGATGAAGCTCAGCTCTCTCACTCGCTGTGCCTCCGTCCTGGTGCCCGATCCCCACAGAGTTCTCAGTGAGGATTAAGGAAAAGAGAATGCATTAGGAAAGTTTTCCACATGAGGCTCTGGTAATGACTTGATTCCCTACAGTAACTCCTGGCACTATTAGCACAACTATTTCAAAACTAAACTGCATGTAATAAATCAACAGAACCTATTTTAGAGAACTCTAGGGATTATTAGAAAAACTGACAACCTTCTTTCTGTTGTAGCCTTTCCCCTACTTTCTTCCTTTTTTCAGAACAAAATGGGAAGAAAAAGGGACAAAGGCAACAGGAAGTTTAAGATTCATATTAAGAATATCCAAGATTTTTCAATAGAGGTGATTTTAAAATTAAATTGTTTTAGAATAATTAGAAGAAAAAATATGAAAAATAAATAAATTTTTTTTTTTTTTTTTGAGTCAGCTCAAGAATTGTGCTTATTCCCACTCCCAGAGAGCTGGTTCGGTTATGAATTTAGGAACATTTTGCCTTTGACCAATGTGAACTGCACACTGAGCTCCCCAGTCCAAGCTGAGGTGTCCTTAGCTGGGTGATGTCACCTCAACTCACACACACGTGAATGCTCTCTTTCCATGCACTAGATAGCCCTGTTGTGGTGTTGTCTCCATGGCATCACTGTAAAATACAAGTCTTTAAACAAATAAATCAATAAATGGGTTTGCTGAACCAGCTTCATTTGTTTATTCACCAAAACTGGAGTCACACCAAACTAATAAAAAATGTCCATAGACATAGTTAGCCTCTCCTAAGAGCCTTCTGCCTACATCTGAGAGCCATGGATCATGGATGGGAACATCACTGCTCCGACTCCTGCACGTATTCCCACTCTGCGCTTTGATCGGCTTGATGCTGAACTGGAAAAGCAACTGCTGGATGCATAGACAGACAGACAGATCCTTTGGAACTCGACTGCCAGGAAACAGCTTCATTTTCCCTGCTGAACAACCTGGACAGAATTCCATTAACTCAGAATCTGAAGGATGTTTTCTACTGCTTTTCCTCATCTTTTGAGCAATACATCTTATGCCATGGGAGGAACAAAGGGCCAGGAATAATTGACAGCTTGCAGTCGTGAGTTTAGAACTGTTTAATTTCTCTCTTATTTGCTGAGATTTGGAACCTAAACCAGATGAATGTCACCAAACACACGTTGTTTCTATCACATTCTTAACCCTCTCTGGGTAATATAAATCTGTATTTTTCATCAGTCTGTGTGCACACACACTTCTCACACAGTAATTCACTGACCTTCCACCCTCAGAGAGGTGGAGGTAATGTATATACTCCTTACCCCATGTTTATGTTTAAATGATTTCTCACTCAGGAGAAATCTTAGCTTTGATTAAAGGAAACAAAGTAGCATAGTGAAACAGGTTATCTCCAGAACTCTATTGTTTGGATTACATTGTCTGAGAACACTAAAAGGGATAATTCAGATACATATTTACAGATTTTATGAAGCCAATAGACTTCATAGAGAGAGATGATAGGCATCACATTTTAAAAAATCCATATTAAAATTACAGAAATATAGAAAATGTATTTAATCAGTCACTATCAATAAATCACCCTGATGGCATTTACATACATGGTAATACATCACACCCAATTGAATACCAAACCATACTTTAGATGGAGCTGCTTGCTGGAATTTCCAGAACTTTTGATGAACAGGAAAAAGGCAGCCGGGTAGGTCGGATATTGTTATTTACAGCCTGAGGTAAAGCGCTGGTTTAGAGGCACTGACAGGACTTCAGCCCCTCCTGTGCCACAGAGGAGCCCAAGCCCGTAAGGGCAGGAGTTACTTTTCATGACTGTTCCAATGAAACCACAGGAAAACATTCCTATTTAACTGCTTTGGCTTCCAGAGTGCTGGTGAACGCCAGATCCACAGCACTGGCTGTCTCTAGAGCGCAGCCCAGGGCTCTGCAGCCTGCCCAGCTCTGAGCCTGCCACACACTCCAAGGGCTTGACCCCGCTGGCACAGCTCAGCCTGGGCTCTCCAGGCCCTCTTACACCTTTTTGCCTTTTTTCTTGACTTCAGCTTTCTCCTCCCTCCCAAGTTCCCCTGTTGCTTTCAGGCACCATTTTGGGAACTCCATATCCAAAGCAACAATCCAGGATTGCTTTGTTTTTCCTGTTCAAGTGCTGTCACACCTTTTGCCAAGGAGCCCTACCTCCTGCTCCTGACAGCTGTATCCCTGGGAAGCCATGCCTGAGGAACTGAGCTGGGAAAGCTGCTGTAGTGATAAACTACCTACAATATCTTCTGCTGTGATTTTTGAAGATGAGCTACAAAATCCACTTGCATCCTTGTGCTCTGCAGGGAGCTGCTGCAATAGGGGGAGATGGCTGATGCTGCTTTATCCTGTTAAATTGAACAGAGGAGCTCTATACCACACTGAAAAAGGGCTCTGAGTGCAAGTCCAGTCTTGTTCTGAACTCCTGGAAATCTACTTTTCCTTCATTTAATTGACAAAATCTGTAGATCATACGAGGAAGACAGTCCCTGCCAAAAATCCAACATCACTGTTTTTTAATAATACAATGGGAATAACCCCTCAGAACATATGTAATTATGGGAATGAGTCATTCCGATGGCATCACGTAACCACATTCACTGGGATTTGACAAAGATGAGGCCACATAAAACTCAAAATTATTTCATTTCAGCCCTGGTCAGGGCAGTGGTGCTGAGGAGCTGAGGCCAAGTAGCAGAGGCGATGGAGAACGATCTGTGACCCTGTTGTCCTGGCTGGCTGTGGCACAGACAGTGTCCTGCTGCAGCCAGTGGTAACAGAATGAGAAAAAGCTGAAGATTGAAATGGGGGGATGCATCAATATCAAAAGAAAAGCTGTGAGTCATAGAGCAACAAAACACCAGTGGAGCAAAATATCTGGCTCACATGTTATCAGATACACAATAAGCAGCTGCAGCCTCGGGGATGCTGCAAGTTAAACACCAACTGCTGATGTTAAACATCACTGGCCCCAGTATTGGAATTTGGGTCAGGGAATATGTGAGAGTGAGCAAAGTGCTGCAGGAAAGTGCCAGTTGGAATGCAGGTCCTACACATTTCAGTAGGATCTTTCCTTATGACAGAAAATCCAGGCTTGTAGCCCACCCCAATGGAGATGTGGTATGGCTGGGTAAGGGGCCTGTGCTCTCCCACCAATGCTTCCAGCCTGGGAATTCAGCACTCAACTCTGGGGCATCCTCAAGACAAGTTCTCCCTGCCACA